GGGAGATGAACCAAAACCTTTGCACTAGAAAACTATGCAGTCGTAAACAGAAACTTGAACTGGTGTTGCCGCAATACCAATGCAGTACCTCGAGACGGAAACGATACTGTGATGAAAACGTGAAAAAGGTAAAACACAATAGAATAATAGCCGATAGCTGAATGACTTCAAATTCTTTATCCATTTCGGAACCACAAGGCCGGCAGGCATGTTGGAGCCTATTACATTTGTATTAATTCAGAAAATCATAAGGATACTGTTGATCAAAGAAATACAGATTGAACTTTTTTTTTTATTTTTAAAACACTACTGAAGATATAATATATCCAAAACAGGGGTATGTTGATAGGGTGTGGGGGGGTGGAAGGTGCTATTGATGCTATGATGACTGATAATACAGAGGAAAAAAAATACTATCTGCTCCCTAATTCAGAGCTACAGACAAACCATTAGAGGTGAACCAATGAATCACCTATTTGATTATCAAATAAATCATGATTTTTGATAATCCATGAATCGTTTTCGGTACCATTCTCATTTTAATATTGAAAATTCTGCTTCTCACCAGTATATTTTCCTCAATATCTACTCCTCAATGAAAGCAGACTTTTAACCTACCAAGCATGCTTTTGGAATGTGGGAGGAAAGGGGAGTATGCGGAGAAAACCCATGCGGGCACGGGGAGAAGATGCAAACTCCACACAAGAAAGCCAGAGCCTGGAATCGAGCTTGTCCCTCTGTGCTGTGAGGTGGACATGCTACCCACCGTGCCGCCAATAATAATAATAATAAGATAAGATAAGATAAGATTAGTCTCGCAATAGAGAAATTCCCATTTCACAGCAGCAAAGTTATGAAAGGAAGAAGTAGAAAAATAACAATTATTATCATAAAATTAAGAACAATAATAATGCATCAGATTTACTGAGCGCTTTTCTGTAACACACTCAAAGTGTGCAGTACTTCGCTATACAAGCAGTGCCTCTTTGAACGAAAATGATCAGGAACAAGAATGCTTTTAGTAAAATAATTCATACACATGAAATGAAGTGTTTGAAATGTGTTGTGACCAGGTCCGTCTTTTCAGATTAAAAAAAAAAAGAAAAAATCACGTTTACACCAGGCAGTTCTTGAAATCACCTTGGACCATTGCTGCACAAAGAAATAATGGGATGAATTGCAAATTGTCAAACCTCATTCTATGTACTTGATTTCTTTTTTTTAATAAATCATTCACATTTGGAAGAACACTTCTCTGTTGATGAATTTAGAATGCATTTATTTTTCGATTTGCAGGACTTTTTTTTTGGAGTGGCACCGACGTGTCTACATCGCAGAGGACTCATCTTCTTGGTTTAGTTCTCCAGGCAGTGACTGCTCCCCTGTGGGAATAATTATCTGGTTGGTCAGGCAAAAACTAATTGCGGCCAATTCGAACTAGCAAAACACTAATGCGGTTGTCGATTAATACATTTAAGATTCAGGACCTCTAATAATGTATATTATTTTTTTTCATGTTATTGGCTAATTATTAATTGTGAACCTCCCCAGATGATCGAGGTGAGACAGTTTCAAGAAAACGTCATTCAAAGTCGTTTTGTCTTTTGAAAATACTTAATAGTGGCATGCGGAACCAGTTTTTTTTTCTTTGCTCGTTTGTTCCCCCCCGGAATGTTTTTCGCGTCGCTCCAGTGTTTCCGGCGTCCACTTCTTTGCAGTAAATCAACGCAAATTTAAAGTGTCCTCTTCTACCTCGTCTCGTCCGCAATGGCTGGAAACTTCTGGCAAAGTTCTCACTAGTAAGTTTGATGCAACGAGATGAACAGGATACGTTTTTAATCGCCGAAGCCGCCACCTTTTTCTCGGGGCCTAGCATTACCTCCGTGGAAGCTAGCTGTCGATCTCGAAACTGTCCAGGAGACAAAATGTTTTTTTTTTTCTTTTCAGACTTAAATACGACTCTTTCAGCTTTGAAAGTCAACGTCGCGTTTTAGCCCCGAATATTAACTTTGTTAGAAACCATAAATTGTGCTTAGGAACAGCTTGGGAAGAATACTCCTGTTGGTTATGACAACACTGAACTGTCGTCAATTTTTTTACTACTGTTTGGAACTACTCTTCAACCATATTATTGTGCTGTGAGAAATGTTTATGTCGTCAAAAGTAGCTGAAATGTGCAATTATGCCTTGGCCAAGTCTGCAGTGGGTGCTGGACAAGCAGGACCTCATGAAGGAACGACAGAAGGACCTCAAGATCCTTTCTGAGGAGGAATACTGGAAGCTGCAGATCTTCTTTGCCAACGGTGTTTACCTTCCGCCGTACTCTACAAACTCGTAGCACATTCTGTACCAAACAATCCAATCACTTTCACGTCCAAAAGCAAATTGAATCCCAAATATTTTTTTGTGGTCATTTTAAAATATTTGACTTATTCACCAAATTAGCATGCGATGTATTTCAAGTTAAATAGAAAATATTGCAAGCTCTGGTTGAGTGGGTTAACATATTTCTCAAAATGAAATAGTTTGTATACCAACTACTTATTTGAAGTGTATTTCAAACGCAAGATTTATGAATTTGAAATGTCTTTGAAATATTTTGTTTATTGAATTTTCAATGTTGACATTTTCAAGTTACTTTTTATGGTTTTAATTTTTAAATACTTACACTAATTTTAAATATTTAACTCAAGGCCCCATATTTCAAACTCAATATTTCTGAATTTGCAGTATTTGAATTTTATTCAACATTTTTTAAAATTAATTTTGACACTCGTCAAATTAATTTCAAACAATAAAACAATCATTTGAAATATATATTTGAAGCTGGCTTGAAATATTCATGGGTTTAACATGTAATCATTTAGCATATCCATCCAAATGAATTGTAATTATGAATTTTTGGGTGAAGATGTTTTTTTTTTGTCCTTGAATGACTGAACCATCGATTTGTGTGCTCTTGTCAGTCATTCAGTCTTTGGGAGAACACTTGAAGCTGAGGCAACAGGTTATCGCCACCGCTACTGTCTACTTCAAACGCTTCTATGCAAGGTAAGCCCCGAAATAATCGTGATACCCAAACGGGATATTGGCACCGTGACACAGTATTTGTGTAAACTTGGGCTTGTTTCCCCCCCTCCACAGATATTCACTAAAAAGTATCGACCCAGTTCTCATGGCTCCGACCTGTGTTTTCTTAGCTTCCAAAGTGGAGGTATGGACACTTTCAGAAGTCTTCACTGAAAATATTATCCGCCCTTTTTTTTTTTTT